CCCGGACCGGGGCACGAACCCGTGTCCCCTGCATCGGCAGGCGGACTCTCAACCACTGCGCCACCAGGGAAGCCCTGAGATTTAGCTTTATTATGATTACTTGGTAAACAAAGGGTGCTGTTTACCAACCCCTCTTTCCTGGGGGAGAGGGTCTTTCTGTCACTGTCCTAACTGCCACCAGCCTCTGGAGTTTTCACAACTCCACAACGTGTTTGGAGCCCCTGCTAGTTCAGGCCTATGCTGGGCCATCTCCAGGGCTACAAAGAGAGTCAAGACAGGGCCCCTTTGCTTGAGAACCTGATGCATAAGCAAAGGACTGCCTTGAAATTCAGTAAATGCCATTGCAGAGGAATGCCTGGGAAGCCACATTTCCTCTTCCACATGATCTTTATAAAAATCTTCAAAACAGGGCAAACAACCAAAAGCACGCTGGTCCAGAGCACCCTTTGCCCTCCAGGGCAGAGGGAAAGGGTGAGAAGAAGACTGCCCCAGGGCTGAGAATCATTAAGTTAAACAAGACAGCTTTCTCCAAACCATTTTTAGTATAAACCTGAAAAAGTAGATTTAGTCCAAGTTTGTAAAATTCAGACATTTCTCCCTAGTAGTTCGAGCTCTAGCCTTGGGTCAAACTTAATAGGAAAGTGACTTTACAAATTGAGTTCCTGTAGACAAGGAGGAAAACAAAGCTGCTTCTGCTGTTGCCGCTTTGGCTGTGGCATTTGAGGTTTCTGTAATTTCATAAAAGGTCAAGAATATAATTTCAGGAGCATACAAGCAAATGGCCTGGACGTTCCACAGCAATCCAGGTGTCTTCTCTCCTTCTCGACACACGGAACTGTAGACTCCTTGAGGTCAAAGACCAGGTCTCCATCACCTCTGTAGCCACCAAAGAACCATGCTCATTACTGCTGGCTGAATGATTACCTGGGGGCAGTGGTCCTCAGAGTTTAGGGTTCAGAGGAAGGCAGATATTTTATTTGAGGTTTTATTTCTTGCCAAATGTTTTCATTTACCAACTTAAAGCAAACTGAAGTTTTTATTCTTATGGTGTACATTTAGTCCTAGCACCTGTTTTTAGTCTCATTTTCCAGATTCAGCTACTTTCCTATAAACATGCACTTCTAGTAATTAAGGATTTTATAGTGACTTTATAGTTGTGTCCTCAAGGAATCCAGAAAGAAACCTTTCAGTATTAATTTTGGTGGTCCTCCACAGGGCTCACTGTCTGATACAAAATATGGGTAAATCTAATTGAGTGTTGAATCCTATTTTGCAAGGTTCTGGGTAGTCGACCCACAAGGTCCTTTTTCCTGGTAAGCTCTAGGGCCACTGCAGCCCAGGTTTGCTTGCATTTTCCCCTCAGCTGTAGGCTTAGCATCTAACCTGATTGTTTGGTGTCCTGGAAGCCAATACACCCTCTTGTTCCCTGGGGATTCTGTTCCTTGTCTATCCGGCTATAGAGGAGGATTTTCAGCCTTCCCGGGTCGGACACCAGCTCTTTGCTTTGAGTGTAGCAAGGCTGAAGTGTTACTCATTCTAGGGAAACAGAGGATCATTTGGTAGCCATGGGGAGGACAAAGCCAAGAAATTCCTGGATCTTCTGACTAGCACCATCCCACATCCGTCCCCTTTGTGGAGGCACTGAGTCCAAGTGTCGGCTCCATTCTAGCTCTCTGTTCCTGCCTGGGACTGCTGGCTTTTATCAAAGCTGTCAGACCAGGAGTTCAGATGCCCTGCCATCAAATGAAACATCTTAAACTAGATAGGAAATTGCTCGTGTATTCCAGTCTTAGATTTGCTTTGTCATAATTTTTAGTGATTCACGAAAAGCGGAATCCAGAAACACCTCAGCTTTTAGTTTTCCTCTTGACTAAATATTTTCAAATTTGCAAACAGACCCTTCAGAAGCCTCTTAAGAAGAGTTACTGAAAGGGACCCTGTGCTCCTTCTGTGGTGTGAGGATTCCCCTCGTAGATGAGTAATTTCACGTTCTCATTTATCTGTTTGCGCGTACAGTTTAAATTTCTAATGGGAAGTATTTTGTTGGCCCTCTAACTGAAGTGCTTTTCCTCCACCCCCATCCCATAGTACACACACAGCCTTGCTGAAGGTCTGGCGTTTATGTGAGGTCATCTAGCACCCGAAGCCCTGCATTTAGCCAAGGCTGACTCAGCCTCCCTCCATCATGTTCTCTGCCCACACGGGGGCCTGAAGAATCAGCAGAGGCATACTTGGGGCTCTCAGTCCATTTCTTCACGAGGCTGAGGCAATTCGGGTTGCTCTGGGTACCCTGCACCCGGGCAGGGGGGCCGCCCTGAGGCAGAGGGGTTTAACCTCCTCGCATCCGAACCACAGCGCCCTCTAGTGGAGAAAATCAGCTTCAAAATGATTGTTTCAATCTAGTTCCATTCCTCAGGTACAATTATAACAACTTGGTCAATGTTTATGGTTTTCCGCAGGCTAGTACCCTGGAGGTCCTGGAGGTATAGTGGAGGAAGTATTTTTAGAAGTAAATGACAGGAATGGTTTCTAAGATGCCCTTGAAGCACACTGTTAATATCTGGCCTCATGATTTGTTTGGAGGCTCATCACTCTCTTCCTCTTGCCATAATGTGCAACTAGGAAATTCTCCACACTGGAAATTTTAAAACCCTATTTTAAACTTTTGTTCTTGATCACCTTCACTCCCGTTGTATTCATTTGGACCCCTAAAATTGGCCTTTATCTGTAGGTGAAAAGCTAGACTCTCTTGGTTTCCCCAGCAGATATGAAATGGCAGTGCTTGTGGAGTAGTGGTTTCTGATGATTATTAAGTATGCGTTGTGTCCTTTGACTGTAGACCTGTCGTGGTTGGCACTACAGTGTCTGGGAAATGGTAACACAAATGAGGAAGCTGTTTAAAGCTGCAGTGTGACTAAGCCCTCCTTCCCACACCCACCGTGGAGGTGGGGCAGTGTTGGCTGGGCTGCATGCGAAGCAGAGACCCCAAGAGCTCCAAGTTCTGACCTTAGTGCTGCCGTGAGGCTTTGACAGAGCGAGTTCATTTTCATCGTCACCTCCATTTCACTTCTATCAAACGAGACAGCGATGAAAGGCCCAAGAGGTCACGGGATGCTCAGTTAATGGCTGTATCCCTTTCTGTATTCCTTGAGCACCTCATCTGCTAGTTCTCCAGTGGAACACACAGGGGTGCAGACAACCCAAGTCTGAAGAGAGTGAACTGCTCCTTGAGAGTTGTCAGTGTGGCTGTGAGAGCCATTCAGAAAACTGTCACAGCTGCACTTCACTTCGTGGAAAGAGAACTTCAAGAGAGACTGGGAAGAAGACGGGCAGAAACTCACATCCTGACCACACCACTTCAGAGGGAGGGGCAGAGCACAGCCACCTTGCAGGGGGACTTATGCATGGGACTAGCAATAGCGGCCGTTTTATTACAAGTATGACAGTGTTAGCAGCTTGTGAATGTTTCTATGCTAGCATGTCCGTTGTCCTTACACTTGGTCAGCCCCTTAAAGTTCACTTATTTCTTTTAAAAAAGGAAAAGAGAATTTTTTACAAAATAGTTACACCACAGTGCAACGTCAATGCGGTAAGAAATGAATCCTAAACAGGATGATTCAACAGATCTGAAATTAAGTTGATTTTGTTTGTTTTTTTTTAAAAAAAAACTTTCTCTTTGCAGGTCGACTGCTAGGGAGTATGCTCTGAAAATTATCAAGAAAAGCAAGTGTCGAGGCAAAGTATGTATAAGGTTTATTCTTATGAAAATACAGTGTTTTGGAGGCAGAATGAAACACAAAGACGAGCTCCTGAATAAACATAAATTTACGCTAGGAGTTGTGGAACAGAATGTTATATACGTATTAGGATATAACTTTATTCTATAAATATTCCTGGAATAAAAGTTAGTTGGAATGATTGGATGTTATTTCTGTTCTTTCTCTGTGTTTGCCTGTTTGCTTACTTCTTCTGTTACTTTTGTGATCTAAGTTTCATTTCATCCTTCTATATGCAGTTATACTTAACATGGTAGGTTCTGAAATTACAAGCATCTTCTAAGGACCTTCAGCATCTCTTGGCAATTCTAGGCTATGTGAATATCAGAATGTAAGATAGACTCCTTATGTTTTACCCAAAGTACATCTCCCTTGATCTTCAAATAGTATAGTTTTGTTCATTTGAGTCAGCTCCTCATGTATTTTGATGTGTATCTTGATTAAGGTAACTTTTGCCTTGAACAGGAGCACATGATCCAGAACGAGGTGTCGATTCTAAGAAGAGTGAAGCATCCCAATATCGTTCTTCTGATCGAAGAGATGGATGTACCAACTGAGCTGTATCTTGTCATGGAATTAGTAAAGGTGTGTATTTTGGAGAAAGAGATAAACCTGTACAAGGCACCCCACTCTTCTGTAGAATAGAGCTTCTCTCCTTTATTTCCTCCCCCCAACATCCAGTCTCTTATTTCTGTGCCTCGGCGTGATGGTTAAGAGTATTAGCACTAGAATTATACTCAAAAGTTCAAGTCCCAGCCTTGACCCAAATAGCTCCCTGATCTGAGGCATCCCTCTCTGTACCTCGGTTCTCTCCTATGTAAAATGAGAATAATAATTGCTAGGAATAAAAACGGCTAGGAATGTTATGGTGGGGGTAAGAGGGATGTCTTTCACCAGCTTCTGTGACACAGAAAGTATTAGATGCCGATACAGTTGTTGTTATTGTTGTAGTAGAAATTGTTCACTTTTCCAGAAGTATCATCATCATAAGAGCAAAAAGCTTTAAACTTTTAGGCGCCACCATAATAGAAGAATAGCACCATCTTAATAATAATGTGAATAGTCTACCACCTTTCGCTGAAGGTTACAATCTCATCCTGTGACATAAAATTAAGTTTTTATTCTACTCAATCACAGAATATGGGAATGGCCAAATGCTGGCCATGGCTGAGTCTGGGTGAAAGGTAACCCCCTTGTTCCCTCTATTTCCATACTTGAAATTTTCTTAATTAGAGGTTTTTAAAAATTGAATGTTTCATTTTCATGAAGTCGTCGTTTTCTCAAGCCTTTTCTATTATGTTACTCTAACTGAAGGCATAAGTAATTTCTACTTTAGTTGTAAAGTGATATAAGTTAGTCACATCATCTTCTCCATCAGCGGTGAGCAGCTAGGGCTCCAGGAACCCTGTTTAGAATCGCTCACCTGAGCTGGTGGTGGGAATCAGCACCCTGGAATATGGGGTTTCCTTTTGTAAAGATTTAAGTCCATGCAAGCATTTAATCAACTAATCTGTTACTATATAGAAGAATGTTCGTTCTAGGGCCTGTAAACTTTCATCATTCAGACTTTCTTTGCTTTACATCTGTTGGCCTCTTTTAACTTAGTGGTTATTTATGTTTATAGATGAAGCCTGTTCTTTTTCTACTTCAAATTAAGACTTGTTTCTCTGAGGGTGAGGGCTCTTTAGTTTGTAGTAACACAGGTTACTGTCACGTTTGAGAATAAGGGAGATAAAAACGCTAACCGTTTATTCCAACAAAGAAAGGCCAATTTCATTTATTCAGAAGAGTTTCATGTTGGCACTTAATGACCAAATATAGTTTGGTAATTGCCAACATTGGCCATTTACAGCCTTTGTGAATTCTCTCTGGGTGACCAGGATAGCCTAACAAGGCCGGATTGTATCTGCATAGTCCAACACTGGGACTCCTCAGTTGAGCCACTATATCGTACCCTTACATTTAGTCTGACCGAGAACCACCGTGAGGCCAGGTCTGAAAGCATCCCGAGAGGTGAAGGCCAACCCCAGGCTGGACCTGAAAGTCTCCCACAACATCCCCCCTGAGGAATTTCGCTTGGCCTGTGCTTGTCAAACCCTGAGAGGCCAGTAGGATGCCCAGGAGGGCCTGAAGCTGTAGGATAAATGAGGCCTGTGTTCCAGAAAACAGTGAAGTGACAGTTCTTAAGAGTGAAATCCCATAATTACCAAGAATGACTCTAGACTTCTGGCTGCAGACGTAAACACATGCACAGTACTTGTGTGTTCAGAGGAAGGGAGGCCTGTGGACGGGGTGGCCCTGGGGCCCGTTGCTAAGGGATCGTCACGAGTGAGAAAGACAAAGGGAGTAGAGGGGACACTGCAAGAAGCGGCTCTACTGAGGACGGGTGTGGAGTGAGGAGGGAGTGTGACCTGTTCGGGTGACCAGGGAAGACATGCCCTACCTGGAGCATTAACGTAACTGGTCTAGGTAGAGGCAGGAGATGAGGTTAAGCAAGTTGGAACGAAGGTTGGGGGCAGAGCGGGGAGAGCCATGGGAAAGGAACGCTGATTTCATGACAAGAGAAAGAAACGTCCAGTGGGAAGGTGACAGTCCGTGCACACAGTGCTTTGGATAAAGAGCGGGGGGACGGCCTAGAAGGCTGTGTCAGAGGCAGGCCTTAAAGGGAGGACTGGTAAGATCTGTTGACTGATTTGCAGAAGGTGAAGAAGAAATGAGATTACAGGCTGCCTGGAGCCTAGATAACCAGGACGATGGTGGAGGCTTGGCAGGGTCACCCCATACGGCCCTACACAGGGTCCGGCGTGCTGTTCATGCGAACCACAGTGAAAACCCCACCGCCCGAGGTAGCATGGAAACAACTGCAAACCCGCACATAGCAGCCTTGCCTTTGCGAGGGACAGAATGTTGAGAGGGAAAGTGGTCATTTGGGAAAAATTGTATGTGCTTAGCTTGGGAACTGCTGCGGCTGAAGGGTCAGTGGGAGACACTCCCCTTCCCTGAGCAGAGATTATACAGAATCACAGAGGGCCAGGTTAGGATTTGAAAATTGTCAGCCTACAAGTGCTCTATTTTGCGTTTGCTATTTAAAAAGAAAAATTAAATCTCTTAGCCCATTAGGTAACAAATGAACACAGTCAGCCACTGGGCTTGGCTCCTTGGGACCTCGTGTGCAAGAAGGATGCACACATTGTCAGTAAATCAGACCCAACTTCGCTGAAAGCATTTCAAATAAATGAATCTAAAATCGGAGCCTAAAATCTTTGTTTCACCAAATAATGATAAATTAGCCAGGAACAATGAAAACAAAAGTTCAGATGAATAATGGTACTAGAAAACTTTCTTTGAAATTTCTCCACCCTCCTCCCTCTCTTTCTCTTTCATCTTTGCAGTGACAGTTTCTGGTCCTTTTCTCTGTTCTTACAAAGAAGCACATTATTGGAAAAGAAACCAGTATGCCCACTCCAAGAGACCTAAATCTAGAGAACGAAGAGAAGTGTGTGTGTGTGTGTGTGTGTGTGTGTGTGCGCGTGTTGTGTGTGTGAATTTCACAAGGCAGCAGAGCATTTTGTTAAGGGTGCAGTTTGCAGTGTTACCTGTTTCTCATTTTGGGAGATTTGGCATTATGAGTTTGACCTTCTGCTGGCAGTTGGCGTGAGGCAGGTAGCACATGCCACCAGGATTCCCAGGTGTCACAAGGCCTCTGCCCTGGAGACCTGGCTCCGCTTCCCCTCCCTGGCTGGGAGTTTAAAGGTAGAGAATCCTCTCTCTTTCCTTTGAGCTCTGGAGGAAATGTCACCGGCTCTGACAGTGGGGAGAGAAATCACTATAAGGTCTCCGGGCCTTTGAGAGAGAGGTGGCAGGAAAAGCCCTCGGAACCCAGAGACCCTGAACGCATCCTTCACTCCCTTTATAGAGTGTCACGCGCCTCTCCAGGCAGCGCCATTGGACCATCTGTTAATGTGCTTCTCCTCCTGCTGTTCTGTCTCAGGGAGGGGACCTCTTCGATGCCATCACTTCCACTAACAAATACACTGAGCGAGATGCCAGTGGGATGCTGTACAACCTGGCCAGCGCCATCAAATACCTGCATAGCGTCAACATCGTCCATCGTGACATCAAGCCAGAGAATCTGCTGGTAAGAGGGCTTCTAACTGCAGGACGTCTTGAGTTCCAAGCATTCATGAGTGAATATGAGCATTTCTCTCTTTTTTCCTTTTCCATTTTCTTAAAAACAAAAATGACCGTAAAGGCTCTTTTCCAGCTGGCCTTCAGTAACTAGCTGGAAACTAGTCTTTTAAGTTGATCTGTCAGGGTTAGTGTACCGTTAGGAGCACTTAATTTATTAGCAAATAAAAACCCGAGGCAGGGGGACAGGGATAGAGCTCAAGAAGTCTAGGGCTATGGTTAAGACCATGGGCCAGGCCAGGCCTGTCATGAGGAGTATTTACACTTACATTATTTATCAACAGCACTTTTGTGTTAGAAAGCTTCTACTTGGGGGAAAAAAAAAAAAAAAAGATGGAAGCCTTTTTAGACTTTGTCTTAATCTCCCAATTTACATCCTAATAATCTGATCTCAGAGCTAAGAGAATAAATCACTGTGAGTTTTCAAGACACCAGCCCCTCAGCATAAAAATAACCATTATGAAGACAGATTTAAAGATCAGAGACATTTTGTCCTCCCTTTAGGCCCGTTTGGTTTGCTTTTCATGAACTTTGGATCTCTGGGGAAACACTGAGAGTTCTCCATGCAAGCAAAGGAGGATGCTCTCCTAATCCCATCGTTAAGGGGACAGTATTGAAAGAATTCAGGAGACAGAGGCTGGGCATTGGGGAGCTATAACTAGTGAATGTGGGAGTATCATAAATTTTGTTGGCTCTTCAGGGTGGAATTTTAATGAAATATATTCAGTTTCTCACCCCCACCCGAGATGCTAGTTCTTCTACTTTCATTATCCAACCCCAGGTGTCATGTATTATGTGACTGTTAGTTTGTCCATCTCTTCAGAAATCCGGGAAATGAGGATTCTCTTTCTAAAGCAGTGTTTCTCCAACGGTGGTCCAAAGACCCCCTGCATCAGAATTACTCCCAGATGCCTGTTAAAAATGTAAATTTCTGAGCTTCCCTGCAGCCCTACCAAATCAGAATCTGGTGACTGGTGACAGGGTGCAGATCTGCATTGCAGCCAGCTCCCCACGTGAGCTGAATGAACGCTCAAGTTTAACGGCAGATGAACAGCCCAACTCCCACCACCAATAAAGGCTGTTAAGACCTGCTTCTGTGGAGACCACCTGTGCTCACCCCATGCTAAGGGCTTCACTCGGTATTTCATTCCATCCTCACAACAGCTATATGGGGTAAGGTCTATTACTGTCCCATTTCACAGGTGAGGAAATGGGGTGCCTAGAAGTTGAAAGACCCTCTCGAGGTATTCACAGCTCTTAAGTGGAAGGGCCAAGGTCACAACCTATGTCCTACTCCAAAGCCCAAGCTTTTAACCACTAGACTACATAAAGCCGTGAATTAGGGAGAGAGGTTTTCTATGTGCTTGCTCTGTGCCATGGACTGTGCCAGGGAACGGAGAGGCATATGCCTTCACAGAGGGGCATTCAGGTAGGAAAAGTAGGCATTCAAGAAATAAATAGACAAGCAATTAGTTAATTGCAATTAAGTTAGTAATCTTGTAGCTACTGGCTAATGAAGGCGGTTGAGGTCAAATGATGGAGTTCTGACTTAATTGCCCCTCAAATTCCACATCTCCGTGGTAGCCTAAACATTCTCTTCTGCATAATGCCTTGTCTGCACTCATTCTTCCTGTGTCCTGACATATGTAGGATTGTCTCATGGGAACGGACTTACAACTGAGCCTTTGTTTAAAAATTTCTCTAAGCTCCGAAAATTCAGTGATTGAAAATTAAAGTTTCATTTTCCTTCCCGCGTTTGCAGTTCAGTTTTGTGTACCCATTGTTCAACCTGCTTTTCACCAGAGCACTGTTTCTATAAATGCCATAAATGGTTACATAGCAGTGTGCTTTTACTAAAATGACAATTTGCAGGATACTTTTTAAGTACTGTGCTCATTTGAACATATTTTTCTTTAAATTACCCAAAAAGAAAAAAAGTTCACTCCCTTTTTCCTTTCTTTTCTAATTTAAGAATGTGAAAAATGTATATATGCACACATATATATATATATATATGTGTGTGTGTGTGTGTGTGTGTGTGTGTACACATATATATAGACAAACAAACACACACACCATTACAGTCATTCATAATGTGGGTTTAAAATATATATATGAAAAACTAAAGAAATTCTGCTTCTCCAGTATAGTAATTTCTTTCTATAGGAGAGTGGTAAGGATTGGTGATATTTGCAGGGATAAATCTACTATAGGATAAAATAGGTAGAAGAATAGAATAATTTTAACAAAATTAGAATGACATCACTAATTGCACTTGAGACTTATATTAACGTCATATTCTGTTGACCTTTATGTGGAAATAAGAGAGAATTGTCATGGGAAGCACAAAATCACATACTCAGGATTTATAGTCAGATGGACAAAAGTTCAAAACCAAGGGCTTCACTCTTCCACTGTCTAGTCTTCTGACCTTGAACAAGATACTTAACTTCTTTGAGCCTCCTTTAAGGGGACTATATGAAGATAAAGAGATACCATGGGACTATTAGTTCCCTTCTTTTTTATTCCCCTTTTATTTGTAATAAAAATTAAATTATCCCTAAAAATAAAACTGTTTAACAGTACAATGTTACGTTGTAACAATCATTTTTCATCTTTTTTGACATTGCTTTTAAAATGTTACTATCTTCCCAGGCATGGATTTGCCATCTTGTGGCAGAATGTAGAGCTAGAGACTATTTTTGGAAAAATGCTATAATAAATTTAATGCAGAGAGTTTCAATCCATTTTCTAACTACCGGGAAACTGAAAGAAATAAAAAGGCCTTACTGCACACTTTGCATTACTGTTTTATTAAGAGGCCTCAAAAAACCCCTAAATTGTTAGACTGCTGATAAATTTTTGCTAATTAAGTGTTTAATGTTTATTATAAGTAGCAAAGAATTATTTATAAATGTGGACATTTCAGCTATAGATTTCATTTTATATAGCATCATTGCATATGCAGAACTTTTAGAATTTTTTATTTTTAATTCTTATAGAACAATATACAAATATCGTAGCTTGGCCTTAAGGATCTATATTAATCATATGGATGATTTATTCAAGTCTGAGTATTTGATCAAGTCAAAGCACTTTAATGAGAAAATTTGACTTATGTTTCCAGCTACATTTTAGGCAAAAACTGGGAACTGACCCAATAGGAATAGCTCATAATTTTATTATTGCATTGTTACTAAGGGTTTTTTTCTTAAATAAGTTAATCATGCCCGTGATTTTACATGATTCTTTCTGCTTTAATCGTCAGGCCTGGTGCTTAGTGATCGTATGGATGAGTGACAGGTGAATGAGAGGGTGGATTGGATAAGAGAGTGAGTGAATGATGATATTTCACATAATAGAGGACAGACCCACCGTGACAAGCCCTAGTTATTTCTCAGTTCATCTGTTACGTTGAGGACTTACGTTGGCCACAGAATAAAAGGCTCTGAGTAGGGGGAGAGATTACACTGCTTCCCCAGCTGCACTTGTGCATGGAACTATTTTGGGTGTGTGTGTGTGGGTGCAAGTGCCATGATAGTTTATGACAGAAAGGAACCTTTTGCTTTAAAAAAACAACAACAACCCATAAATTGTCTGAGATCAACTGCTTTCAGTTTACATGAGTCACCACTAGATGGCAAGCTTGTACCCTTGGCAGCAAAAACCATCAGTAGCAGCCTGTATTTTTGCAGGGAGCTGGGAGGGTCTTTTTAAAATGTATATGCAGATACCTCCTTCTTAGGAAAATTAAAGTCTTTATGGCAACAAATAACTGACATCACTAGTTTTTATTAGATTCCAGAAGTAAACACAGTAATTTTCTTGAGATATAAAAATTTCTGTTCAAAAAACGTTTTGCTTCTAAACTCCTTAATACTGTCTGGGAGAAAGCAGTTTCTCAGGGTTACTGCTTCTCTTGGTCAGAAATTTTCTTTTAGCGACTCTCTGTCGAGGTGTTTGTGCCTGTTCCTCGCTGCCCATCAAAATGGCATGTGCAGCTAATGACCCTCATTTTCATGAAATGGGTCAAATCTAGTAATAAATTACCTTGTTTTCCCCCAAGTGATGACCATAGGTTGTGCTCCACCTCTTCTTAGTTTCCACTTCAAGCCAACACGGAGCTCACCAGATAATGGATTTCCTTCTGCCTTAATCCCAGGACCCTTAATCCCCAAATAAACCCATTTTCTGATAGGATCACTAACTACACTGGGAGATAAGGCCAGTGCCACAGATGGAGCACTGGAGGTTGTGAACAGAAACACAGTTGAGTAGATTTGTAGTCAGTCCACTGCATGAGGAACTTGAGCCACCAGAGTGTTGATGAACAGATTGGTGACCACCCTGAGGAGGGAGCTGCGGGTCTCACAGGAGTCTGTCACCAGCCCCGCCCTAATCAGCATCGCCAGTGGGCCGAGATGAAGATGTATTCTATATATCAAATGACAGACTTGAGATCCAAAACTATCCTTGGCTCCATAAAGGCCCCAAATCAGCAAGATGAAATTTAACAAGAGAGAAACATAAATCTCTATAGACTAAGTTGGTTTTGGTATAGTTGTTTTAAGGACCATTGCAGAAAAACAGTGATGGGAAAATTTGGCCCAGTTTAAAGGCTATTCATTGACCATAAGTTCACTGTGAGTCTTAGGGTAACATGACTGCCACAAATACCAACGTGCCCTTAGACTCCTTTCACTGAAAGAG